CCCTGAGTCCCCGCTGCTGTGCGCCTGTCTGCCCCCACCCTGAGTCCCCGTGCGCCTGTCTGCCCCCACCCTGAGTCCCCGCTGCTGTGCGCCTGTCTGCGCCCACCCTGAGTTTGGCTTTGGTGTGGCTCCCTGCTTCTGTCTGCTTTCTTCTATCTCCATGATGGTTCTGAGATCCACAACCGGGGGGCTGACAGGACTAGAAGACATAAAAAGTCACTTTATAAAGCCTTTATTTACTTATAAAGCCCATCCTCCAAACTTCATCCGAACTGCAAATTGTATGTAAGATCAATAATGAGAGTACAATTTAGGTTTATTTTGTCAATTACGGCCAACCTTACAAGGATGTTTTGAATGAAAGTTATTTTTACACACACATACATAACTAGAATGCACTGAGAGTCATAATATTAAGTGGTGTAACTGAAATACTCATGTCAAAGAGGAAAAAAAGTCAAACAACAGAGTCTTAAGTTATCTGAACCAGATAGAAGAACTCACCGAGTTTTAATTAAATCCTAACCCTTTAAGGTAAATGAAACTTAAAAATTAATATTCTTCCTTTTTTTAACAAACAAAATCCTCACTACTATCTGATATTAACAAAACAGACATTTACTAGAAAAACTTGGAGGTGCTCACTAATATTAAAGACAGGGGAGTTGCATATAATAGAAAAAAATCCTACAATCTTTAGAAATAGATGATTTCTGATCTAAATGAAATCTACGGTATAGCTAAAAATAAGTCAGATCATTACATATTAAAAGGGTAACCTATTTTTTTCATTAAAAAGAAATTCTGCTTCTTATTCCCACTATGAACACATCAGAATGAAGGCAGAAGTGTCTGTCTCTTTATTAAAACTGAGAAGGTTGTCAATAGCAGGGGCTGAAACACAGGGTCAGCCTGCACGGCTGACTTCATATCAAATTTCATAAAATAGTCCAACGTTAGCTAGTCATCAGAAGCTCCTAGATGTTCTCACAAATTAAGTATGCTCTAATTTGTTTACTTAGAAAGGCAAAAAATATTGAAACTGATTTTTGAACTAAATTTATTTTTGAGACTGTCTCACCGTGTCACCTCGGCTAGAGTGCCCCAGTATCATCATAGCTCAGTGCACCTTCAAATTCCTGGGCACAACTGATTCTCAGCCTCTGGAGTTGCTGGGCCATAGGCACGTACCACTGTGCCAGGCTGATTTTTTCTTTCTTTCTTTTTCTTTTTTTTTTTAAGAGACAAGAGTCTCACTTTATCACCCTCAGTAGAATGCTGTGGCATCACAGCTCACTGCAATCTCCAACTCCTGAGCTTAGGCAATTCTCTTGCCTCAGCCTCCCAAGTAGCTCACACTACAGGTGCCCACCACAACACTCAGCTATTTTTTGTTGCAGTTTGGCTGGGGCCGGTTCAAGCCTGCCACCCTCAGTATATGGGGCTGGCACCCTACCCAGTGAGCCACAGGCACCGCCCCCAGGGTGATTTTTCTACTTTCTTAGAGATAGGGTCTTATAGCTCAGGCTAGACTCCAACTCCTGGCCTCAAGTAATCTCCCTCTTTGGCGTCTCAAAGTGCTGGGATTATAAACGTGAGCCACCGTGCCCAGCCTGAACTACTTCTAGACCGTGAAGCAATTTAGACTAGAACATCATGGTCTTTGTTGCAGCTGTGTATGATTATACAATCAGTAAGTCGGCTGAATTTCAGCCCATTGGCAGCCACACAGGACAGCACCGATGAGCACCAGCCCAGCCAGCGCATCGAGAGAACGCTGCGTTCCACCTGCACCCACTCCTTCGTTTCACTTTTCTAAATAAAACAAAATACGTTCAAAATATGGGCAAGTTAAAGGAATAACATAAGAACATCAAATGTACAGCCTCTGAAAATTAACTGTAAATAACCAGACATTCTGTGAGATTTTAAATGCCAAGGCTATGAGTGACTTCAGGGTCTTTGTGGGCAGGATTTTTAACCAATATATATTATCAAAGAAAAAAACTGCTGATATTAAGTCTCCATATGTGGGCTGTCTGGAAAATACCCAGTATGTAATATGAAAAACAGAGCCCTGCGTGGCTGGTACTTTCCCGGCAGCCCTCAGTGCCCCACTCCAGTGCCCGCTACTGCCCCCTGATGGTACAAAGGCAACAGATTTTGCTCGGGAGAAAAAACCTACTATAGCTGGTTAGCAATGTATGTGCAGTTAGGTAATTTTCTGCATACTAGACATTTATATTAACATTTTTTAAATGTGCTCTATTCAATGTTTTCATTTGACAGTTACACAGGTAAAGAACAAAATGAAAATCGTACCTCAAAGAGCCAGCAACCCAACTGGCGGAGCTGGTAGTGTCGACTCTGTTACTGGGAATGGGCTGTGGAGCAGATATTTTGCGCACTGGTGACTTTTCCCAGGGTTTTAAATCTTCCTTAGATTCTGTGGGAGGTGTACCATTAACAAATGGTTTAACTCTCCCCTGGAGAGAGAAAAAAAAGACATTAGAAAATGTTAATAATAGCAGGAATCTAGTGCCTCACCTGAGACACAGTTTGTACTCAGTAAATAGTAGTTACACTGCACTGAAGCGCAAAATCTCACGACAGTCGTCCAGCACTTTCCACCCATCTCTTTCAGGGTTTCCTGCCTTAACCAACTTTCAGACCACATCACTGACTGTGATCCAACCACTGGGAGCTTCCACGATTAAGTCTTAGGGAAACCAGTCCCCACACTAATCCCTGCTCATACGAACAGTAAGCCAAGTGTTAACAGACATTACACAAATGGGGCTGAAGCAGTGACGTTTAAATTAACACCCATGACTTTAGTATAAAATGAAATGAAGGTTTGGTATAAATGTTACATAATTCACTCTGAATATAATTAAAGTACTTCAAATAAAACTAAATAATATAAACATTTCAAAAGGAATCCTAAAACTATTGCTATTTTAACAGGTAAAAAAGTTATAAAAACGATCCTTCCACTTCCAGGGCAAATTCTTCTACTGTTGAAAGACAGTCACACTGTGCACTGTGCCGCCCACCTTCCTTTAAACGTCAACGGTCTTCCAGACGAGCCTCAGTGTGTGAACTGTGCCCAAACGTCTACCCTCCATTTAAAGAACACACATACACACGCTCACCACCTGAGGACTCTACCCTCTGAGGAGGGTAAATTTCTATTGTCTCACAAATTCCAAAAACTTCAATGTTTTGTGGATATGTAGGGGTTAGAGAAAAATGACTCTATTAAGTTAGACATTTCCTTCCCAATAAACAACTATGTAATAAAATTTTAAATGACATCTAAAAACTGCCCTTTTCAGAACTGACCAGACTAACCACCTACAGCTTCCCCTTCACTATGCTAGACCAGGAGAACCCAGTCATTCCGGCTTGTTTTGCTCTAGTTAATACCCTGGAGGAAAGAGACCACAAATTTGAAATTATACCTATTTTCAAAATCACTTTCATTGACTATTTTCAATTGGTGTTAACTGACATTTCATAAAACAAATCTCAACAATTTACCACAAATATATTTTTCAATGTGTATATAACGTTACTATATTTTCGTCAATATTATATTTTGGTTGCAGAAAGAATATCAGAAATAACATAATAAAGGGCTCAAAACTGCCATTAAAATCTCTAAAGCTAGAAATGTTACAGAAATCTAAACACTGCTACATACATTACATTGTGTGATTAGTCATGCTTTTTATTTTTTGAGACAGAGTCTCACTCTGTTACCCTGGGTAGAGTGCTATAGTATCATAGCTCATAGCAATCTCAAACTCTTGGGCTCAGGTGACCCCCTGGCTCAGCCTCCCGAGTGGCTGGGACTACAGGCACCCACCACAGCGCCTGGCTAGCTTCTCTATTTTTGGTAGAGACGGGGTCTCACTCTTGCTCGGGCTGGTCTTGAACTCCTGAGCTCAAGCAATCCACCCACCTTGGCCTCCCAGAGTGCCAGGATTACAGACATGAGCCACCAGTCCTGGCCAGTTAAACAGAACAGCGTTATACAATAAAGAGGAAAAAAATAAGGGGAAAAAAAGTTGTCTGTAGTCCTAAAAAAGGAACGTAGGGAAGCAGCATGTTAGACACAAACCTGGGTCTTGTCTGCAGGAAACGGGGCCGTGAAATCGGGGGACTGCAGGTCTCGGGGGCTGCCCACGCCTGCACAGCTCCCTTCCGAGTCTGACGTCAAGAGCTCTGGAAGAGAGTCCACAGAATTGGTCTTACCAGACTTTAATAATCCTAAAATGTGAAATTAGAAAAACATACATTTAAACACATATGCATTATATTCAGTGAACCAAAGAGAAAGCTTAAGGCTTCCATTTACCCAGATTTAATAACATTTAAATTATATTCATTGCATCAAAATCTTAACAATGCAAGCAAATTAGAGAAGGACACTAGTTTGAGAGAAAAATTGAAATGAAGAGTCAAAAGCTACTGTTCCACCCTTTACACTTACATGCCCATTATACAAAGAACCTAAGAAAGAGAGACAAAGGCAAAATAACAAACCCCCGACCGTGCCCTTCCCTGTCTCATCTGCCCCCAGACTGTGCCCTTCCCTGTCTCGTCTGCCCCAGACCGTGCCCTTCCCTGTCTCGTCTGCCCCAGACCGTGCCCTTCCCTGTCTCGTCTGCCCC